AGACAGCCATGGTGTGGGCAGCCTCTGAATGGTCTGGCGTGGTCGTGCTGGATGGAGGGCTGGCTGGGGCATTGAATGGGGAGGGGACCAGGGGGTGGGGTGCTGCGCCAGGTGGACAGTGTGACCAGGGTGCCCAGAAACCCTTCATTCCCACTCCCCACACAGCAAATGACCACATTCCACGCCAGACCAGGGGTGGGAGGCAGAGGGAGTGTCCTTTCAGGAGGCTGAGACCCCCTGGGTGTGGTGACCAAGGCCGAGCAGAGGCCCCTGCTGCAGGAAGGGTCCTTCCCCAGCTGGGGAGCCTGTGCTGGGACCCCTGCTGGGCTCTCAGCGGTTTCCAGGCACCTCTGAAGGGGTCTCCCAGGGCAGCGGTGGGCGCAGGCAGAGGGCAGCCCTCCTGGCCTTGGCCGCTCACCCTCACTCCCTGCTGTGTCCTCAGAAGGCAGAACTCGAAACCACGGCCACAACGTCTGCAGCACCTGGGGCGACTTCCACTACAAGACCTTTGACGGGGATGTGTTCCGCTTCCCCGGCCTCTGTGACTACAACTTCGCCTCCGACTGCCGAGACTCCTACAAGGAGTTCGCTGTGCACCTCAAGCGGGGTCCGGGCCTCAGCGGGGGCCACCCCCAGATTGAGTCTGTGCTGCTGACCATCAAAGACGACACCATCTACCTCACCCGCAGCGGGGCCCTGGGGGGGGGGCTGGCGGCCCCCTCTCCCACACGCGGATGGGGGGAGCGGCTGCAGCACCTGCGAGCAGACGCGTCCGGGCAGCCTCCGGGGCCCCTTGCTGCCCGGTTTGCAGACAAGGAGAGCTCAGGGTTTGAGTTCAGGTCACTGATTCACGCAACGCACACTGAGGAGCCTCCACCAGGAGCACCTCACCCCACAGGCTGGGCTTTCCTACCCTGTGGGTCCCTTACAGCGGCCCTCCCTGGAGCCCAGCAGGCTCAGGAAGTGGCTGAAGCAGCCGTGGCTGGCCGGGGACTGCAGGTGGTGCTCCTCGGGGATCCAAGTGCCACGGGCCCATGTCCTGTTCCCCAGGCTAAAGTTACAAAAGTAGAGGCCAGGAGCCCCTTCCTGCCTGGCTATTGTTCCCTGCATTGTCCCACAACAATGAGGCCCTCTCCAGTGGATTCCTGTCCAGCGGGTTCCCCACCTGCAGGCCTTGCCCCTGGCCTGCCCCGGGGATTCTATTTCCAACATGCGGCTCCAGCCCAGCACCTTCCACACTGCTGAGTCAGCCGGGCAGCTGGGCCGCGTCACTTGGGGGAGAGGTGCAGAGGTTGGGGGGGGGCACAGGTGCCAGGGCCAGCACTGGGCACTCGGGGAGGTGAGGACAACCCTGGGGGGCAGGGTGGGTATGGACTGGAGTGGCCCCACCCTGGGGGATGTCCCTGTGTGCCAAGGGCCAGGAAGGGGGTCAGGCAACTGGCCCTGCTCCTCACCCAGGCCCTGCCCTTCCAGCAGCCCCGGGAGGGGAGCATGTCAGGACGGTGCACCGGGAGGCGGTGTAGAGATGCAGTGGGCAGCTGGCTCCGCCCGCAGGAGCCCAGCCAGCAGAGGTGGACAGGGGCTCTCTGGCTTGCTCTTGGCCCCCGAGCCCAGCTCAGTCTGTCCGTGGCCCAGGGCAGAAGCTGGCCTTAGTGGGGCAGGGCGCGGGCAGAGCTGCAGGTCCGCCCACGCGATGTGGTCTAGTCTCTCTGGGCAGTGTGGCTCTGGGGATGACAAACTGCGGCGGTCTGGCCAGTGACTCCTGTGTGCCCCCCTCCGGCCAGGGTCAGCACCCCCCACTACAGCTCCGGGCTTCTCATCGAGAAGAACGACGCCTATACCAAGGTCTACTCTCGTGCCGGCATCGCCCTCATGTGGAACCGGGAGGACTCACTCATGGTGGGTGCCAGTGGCACGGGGCCCTGGGGAGGGGGCTTCTGTCAGACCCCTGGGCTGGTGACCCTGAGGGAGGGCGAGACGATAGCGCTCTTAGTCCTCAACAAGGGGGCAGGACCCCAACAGCCCCGAGGCAGGGGTCCCTGGTGGCTGAGCCACCAGTGCAGGAGGACCCCTGCTGGCTGCCCGGCACCCTGCTGCTCTCTCACCACCCTTCCTCTGACAGCTGGAGCTGGATGGGAAGTTCCAGAACCACACCTGCGGTCTCTGCGGAGACTTCAACGGCCTGCAGATCTACTCCGAGTTCCTCTCCGATGGTGAGAACCAGTCGGGGCCGGGTGGCCGGGACCCACGTTAGGGGCCGGCTGGCTCCCAGCAGCCCCTCCTCTGATGGGTTGTGCCCTACAGGCGTGCAGTTCAGTGCGATCGATTTTGGGAACATGCAGAAGATCAATAAGCCCGAGGTGGTGTGTGAGGACCCTGAGGAGGTGTCGGCCCCCAAGTCCTGCTCTGAGCACGTGAGTCTCAGGACTGGGGACCCCTGGCTGTTCCCACTCCTGGGGTTGGGGGTCCAGGCAGAGCATGGCTGCCTCTCTCCTCGGGCTCCCGGGACCTGCAGCCCACTGGTGCCCACTGGCCTGTTGGGTACCCCGGCCCGTGGTGGGACTCGGGGAGTGTGACCGTCAGCTCACTGCTGCGACCTCCCCGCAGCGCGCCGAGTGTGAGAGGCTGCTGACCGCCGCCGCCCTCGAGCCGCTGGAGCCATATGTGGGCGCCTGCATGTACGACCTCTGCCAGTGCCCGCCGGGCGGCTCCTGCGTCTGCAGCACCATCGCGGAGTTCTCCCGCCAGTGTTCGCATGCCGGTGGCCGGCCCGGAAACTGGAGGACCTCCACGTTCTGCCGTAAGTGTCTGCCTGCTCCTGATGGCTGGGGACCCATGGGGACTTGGGGTGATTCTCATGGAGCCCAATGTCAGCATGCCCAAGCCTGGGGAGCCGTTCTGTGCCCAGCGTGAGTGGCACCGCCATGGGCGGCAAGGAAGACCCCTGGGTGCCGTGCTCTGCACCGCCTCGGTGCGCCTGCTCACCAGGCTGTCCTTGCTGTCCCAGCTAAGAGCTGCCCTGGGAACATGATCTACCTGGAGAGCGGCTCGCCCTGTATGGACTCCTGCTCGCACCTCGAGGTCAGCAGCCTGTGTGAGGAACACCGCATGGACGGCTGCTTCTGCCCAGAAGGTGCGCGCTCCGGGAGTCGGGCCAGCGGGAGGAGCGGACGAGGGGCGCTGCCCGCACACGACCTACGCCACTCGCACCCTGGTCGCTGCCAGCCTTGGGTTCTCCAGGGGCCAGCTCAGCTGGACCTTGGGAGGGGCGGCAGTAGCACAGGAAGTGCCTCTCCACCTTCCTAGGCCCCACCAGACCTGAAAGGAGCTGAGTCAAGGGCGGCTGAGGTAGAAAGGGCTAGATGGAGATGCTCTGCCAGACGGGGGCTTCGGGGAGGCTCCGAGAGCACCTTCTGGTCATCACCTCATGGACAGGCTTCCTTTGCCTGGCCCTGGCCTTGAGCCTGGAAGCCCACTGGAGGAGCTCGGCTCTTAGCAGTAGGAGGGTGGCCGGGAGGCTAGGTCCCCAGGGGAGTATCCCTGACAGGGGCCAGCGTGGACCGCAGTGGGTGCAGGGCGTTGGTCCAAAGGACCAGAGGAGTCTGTGGTTGGAGGCCTCGCTGGCAGCCCCACCGCAGGAATTCCGGTGAGTGGCCTGCCCAGCTCGCCTGCGAAGGCCCAGGGTAACGCCACGTGCCTGCTCTCCCAGGTACTGTATATGATGACATCGCGGGCAATGGCTGCATCCCCGTGAGCCAGTGCCACTGCAAGTTGCATGGGCACCTGTACGCGCCCGGCCAGGGGATCACCAACGACTGTGAGCAGTGGTGAGTCTCAGGGCCCAGGGCGCAGGGCCTGGGGGGCCAGCTGATCTCTGCCTTGTGGCTTGCCCCCGACAGTGTCTGCAACGCTGGCCGCTGGGTGTGCAAAGACTTGCCGTGTCCCGGGACCTGCTCCCTGGAAGGCGGCTCCCACATCACCACCTTCGATGGGAAAAAGTACACTTTCCATGGGGACTGCTACTATGTTCTGACCAAGGTAGGAGCCCGGCAGCTGGTGTGCGGGCAGAGCTGGAGACCTGGAGCCCAGGCGGGCTCGGTCGTCCCAGGCGGGCGGGCAGACCCGGAGAAGACAGTGCCTGCGGGCTGCCCCTGGGGTGGCGGGTGATCTCTCTAGAAACTGAGAAGTGAGCTTCCCCTTCTGAGCCCCCTCTGGAGTCCTGGGTGCAGGGCGTTGCCAGCCCTGGGCCCTCAGTCACGGCCCCTCCCCACACAGGGCGACCACAACGACTCCTACGCCCTCCTGGGCGAGCTGGCGCCTTGCGGCTCCACGGACAAGCAGACCTGCCTGAAGACTGTGGTGCTGCTGGCTGACAAGAAGAAGAACGTGGGTGCCCCTTCCCCTCCCCTCCTGGCGTCCCCAGGGTCCCTGAGGCCCTCCTCAGCCTGGTGTCTCCATGCCTTCTCCCGCAGGTGGTGGCCTTCAAGTCCGATGGCAGCGTGCTGCTGAATGAGCTGCAGGTGAACCTGCCCCACGTGACTGGTGAGTCCTGCTCCGCGGAGGGTCCGGGAGCCATGTGCAGCTCAGCCGGGCCCGCTGTGCTCAGACCTCCCGCTACCTCAGGCCGGGGAGGTCCCACCGGGAGCGAGGGGCCCCGTGGCATCTGGCAGACGCGCCCTTGGGCCTCTGCTGGCGGGAGGAGTGGGTGGGTGTCCTGGGGTGAGGCCGGGAGCCCTGTCCCTCACAGGCCCCTTGCCGTGCAGCGAGCTTCTCCATCTTCCGACCATCCTCCTACCACATCATCGTGAGCACGACCTTCGGCCTCCAGCTGCAGCTCCAGCTGGTCCCCGTCATGCAGCTCTTCGTGACGCTGGACCAGGCTGCCCAGGAGCGGGTGCAGGGTGAGTGGCCTGCCCAGCTCCCTCCACAAAGGCCCCATGTGGGGCCTGCCCTCCCCGGTCCCAGACTCTTCCCAACCCTGTCCTGGCCCTGCAGGCCTGTGTGGGAACTTCAATGGCCTGGAAGGTGATGACTTCAAGACGGCCGGGGGGCTGGTGGAGGCCACGGGGGCCGGCTTTGCCAACACCTGGAAAGCCCAGTCGAGCTACAAGCTGGACTGGCTGGACGACCCCTGCTCCCTCAACATCGAGAGCGGTGAGGCCACTGGGGCACCCGGCTCCTGGCCAGCGTGGCCTTCCCGGGCAGATGGGGCTCTGGGTGGGGACACGGTGACACTTCACGCTGGGGGCCAGCCTGTCTGCCTTCTGCTTCCTGCCATGGGGTTGGCTTCTGGTGTTTGTGGTGGCAGCTGCCAGGCAGCTCAGCAGAGGGGCTGGGCCAGGTTACTGCCCTGTCCAAGGCTGACAGCCTGCTGCCCTACCTGCCACCCTGCCACCCTGCCTTATCTGGGGTGCCCAGACCCTCACGGTTGAGAGAGCGGAGATAGTGCACGCCCCGCAAGGGGACCTTATCCTATTAGGTGCTGCCTGAAGATTTGAGACAGAGGGAGGAAGGGGCTTGGCCTTCGGTCCACAGACAGGCCTGTACCTGCTCCAGCCTAGGCAGCCTGGCAGCCGGACTCAGGGGACGTGCAGAGGGTGGCCGAGACCCCACTGAGGCTCTGACCCTCTCCTTCCTCCCTAGCCAATTATGCTGAGCACTGGTGTTCCCTCCTCAAGAAGACGGAGACCCCCTTCGGCAGGTGCCACTCGGCGGTGGACCCCACCGAGTATTACAAGGTGGGTGGGGTTGCACACGCACACACTCTGGCTCACCCAGCGCTGTGCCGGGTTTTGGGCACCATCGAGGTGTACCTGGTGCCTCTGGCTGAGCCTACAGGCTGCCGAGTGTGGGCGTGTGCATGTGCCAGCACGCGTCTCTGATGCTGCACCTGTGCACGTCATTCTCGAGCGCACCCTCGGGTGGCTGGGGCCACGTCCTGCCCTCCCCACCTCACTGTGCTCTGCCTTGGTTTGCTGTCTAGAGGTGCAAATACGACACGTGCAACTGTCAGAACAACGAGGACTGCATGTGCGCGGCGCTGTCCTCCTACGCGCGCGCCTGCGCGGCCAAGGGCGTCATGCTGTGGGGCTGGCGGGAGCGTGTCTGCAGTGAGTGCCATGCTGGGGACGGTGCAGGCTGCCAGAGCCACCGACAGGCTGGGGCTGTAAACATGGGTGGTCTGGGGTAGGGCAGCCCAGCTGCTGGGGTCACCTGCCAGGAGCAGTGAGAGGCTAGCTCCTCGAGTTCTCTGCTCACGGGGACCAGGAACCTGGGGCAGCCATGTTCAGGGTGGTGCTGAGGGTGGCTGCCCAGCCCCTTGGCTGGTTGGTCTCCATCATGACAGTGCCAGGGCAGGGGACTGGTCCCTCCCAGCCCTCACGCTGGCTCCCACGGACCCTCTGCAGACAAGGATGTGGGCTCCTGCCCCAACTCTCAGATCTTCCTGTACAACCTGACCACCTGCCAGCAGACCTGCCGATCGCTCTCCGAGGCTGACACACACTGTCTCAAGGGCTTCGCGCCCGTGGACGGCTGCGGCTGCCCCGACCACACCTTCCTGGACGAGAAAGGCCGCTGTGTGCCCTTGTCCAAGTGCTCCTGTTACCACCGTGGCCTCTACCTGGAGGCAGGGGACGTGGTCCTGCGGCAGGAGGAGCGATGGTGGGTGGCTTGGCCAGGGGAGTGAGGGTCGGGGTGGGCGTAGGGGCTCTTTCAGAATCTCTGCTCCAAGCCAAGGCACTGGAAGGCTCTACCTGGGGGAGCAGAGAGCCCCCTGTGGCTGGGGGGTTCTGAGAGGCCCAGCTCCCATCTGCACCTGTGGGGCTTGTGCCCGCCTGTTCACCTGCCACTTCTCCCTCACAGCATCTGCCGGAACGGGAGGCTGCACTGCGTGCAGGTCAAGCTGCTCGGCCAGAGTAAGTGGCCCTGCCCAGGCATGGCCCCTGCCCTACCCGTCCCCTGCCCACTTGAGCCCCTCTAACTTCAGCCCCTCCACCCTGCAGGCTGTGCAGCCCCGAAGATCCACATCGACTGCAACAACCTGACCGCACTGGCCATCCGGAAGCCCCGCGCCATCAGCTGCCAGACGCTGGCTGCCGGCTATGTACGTGCTGGGCAGGGCTGTGTGGCCGGGCTGGGCACGGTCTCTGGCTGGCTGAGCTCGCCAGGGAGGGCACAGGCGGGCTCCCATGTTGCCT